TGTTTATGGGCAGCGGTCGCTTTCCATTTCGGTGGATTCAGGTGGCCGCTTGCGAGTTTGCCACCTCGTACTATAAAAAAAAAAAGTCATCCAGATCTTTATAATAATAAGTCTGAACTGATGGAAGATCGTTTGTTGTCTCTCATTAAAGAGTTCAACAGTTTTTTAATGACATAATACAAGCTTACCAATTTTAGCATCTATCAAATTAAGCCACAGCAGGCTGGTAATATACAGGGCTAGACTATTAGGATGCATGTTAAGTTGTTACATGACGAATACCGTCTGCAGTCGTACGGTCTTGTGACGTCACCATTGTTCAGTTCACATCATCTGTAACAAAAGAATAAATATTAAATAAACAGTGTTTCCACTGTCAAAATACTTGTATAAAAATATATTGACATCCCTATCAATGTGTTGGAAATAAACAGAGATATCTTTTTAAAACTCTTTTAATATCTATTTCATTTTTATTGTTTTAATGTATTTTTTCAGCGGATGATAAATGTTCTATCGTAACTTTTAATTTGGTTGTAAAAATAAATAAAACAACACTTTTTTTACTAATAAATTTATTTTAAACGCCTTAAAAAACATAATAAATAAGTAAAAAAGTCAAATTAAAGGTTAAAAATATTTTCCTGTCAACTTTACGTACATTGCGGAACTTTCCGACAGAACTTTTCCTGTAAAAAACATAAGCTCGAAGCTTTGTTCTACAGAAAAATCATATAAAATTTATAAGTGTATCCAAAGTTCCACAGTTGTCCGTTATTTCTGCAGCAGCTGTTTCGTAAATAGAAATCTGTGGCGGCTTGTTTGTTCTTTTCTTAGTAAATAGCTCAGTTTCAATTAAACTTAAATACTCCGGGCTCTGGAACGAGTGGTTTTATACAACTACTGTACACAGTTTCCAAATGAGTTCTTTTTCAAGAGAATCACGTTGGAAACAAAGTGGAAGAAAACATTAAAACTCATCTGAAATTGAAAACTCGGACAGGCCATGTTTAACTTGTGTTTGTTACAAAATACAATTTTAAAAATGTAATTTTATAAAAACGCGTAATATATGATATATTGCAAGGAATCGACATGAATTACATGATATTAAAAAACTGTTTTTCACCTCATTAAGATGAAAAACAAATTCTATTCTCTGGTTTTAAGAATTCGGAATAGAAATAAAGATCATATGAATTAAGGTTATGAATGTGGAGGGGTGCATCGGTAGAGGTAGACCTAGAAAGAGATGGATGGATTGCGTGAAAGGTGACATGATCAAGAAGGGAGTGATGACTGAGATGACGGATGATAGAATGCTTTGGAGGACGAAAACCCGGTGCGCCGACCCTACGGGAGTAGGATAAGGCAGGGGAGATGATGATGATGAAATAGAGATCATGAGATTTTTAAAAATTTATTAGTTCCATTATGCAACAATTAATTTTATACTGTTGTCTTATATAAACCACGTAATAATTAAACCTAAGTTAGTACTAACAGCATAATTTATAATCTTAACTTTGGAGTTCAATTCCTAGTAGTTCCGATCGATCTAATTCGAAGCCAAGAATTCGGCCGCCGGGAGAAGTGGAGACGTACATAAACACGGACTGTACGAGGACTCTCCAAACGGTCAGTGTGATCGACAAATGACCACTCGACATGAGATGGTTCAACCACTGGATCACTTTTGGTACAATTTAACGTATTACGCGGATCAGAGAGTAATGTTGTTTTCTTAAATCAAAATTAAACTTTTCGAATATTTTTTTTCGTATTAATTTGAAGCATTACAGTAATTTAAAAAAATTAAATTCAAGATTCAAATTTAAATTTATTTTATGGAAATAAAAATAATACAAAAACGCCAGATATAAAAAGAATTAGTTAAAATAAACGTTTCTTTTCTTTCTGAATACGAACCGAAGTTCATTTGTGACGAAGGTCTCTTATCCTTGTTTTACACTTTCGTGTGAGATATTTAATCACCCTATATTGTTTAATCAAATAATCTCATTGCACTCTGTAAATCGCTGCTGTCTATGACTTAGATCACCGTTAATTTGTTCCACTCAACTAGCGACCTCTGTACCGAGAGCGACGGACAAATGTTGCCTGTGTTTGAGTGCAAATGAGATTTTTTGTTGACTCTGCACTTGGGTAAAATAACGATTTGCAAAAGTTACTTTCGGTTACTTTGATATATTAGTAAAATCACATCTATCAAAAGATTGTAATCAAAAATAAGGGAACTTTTCAAATAAAAAAATTAAAGTCCATCATCATATTATTAAGGGGTAAAAAGATCTAAACGGTCGCTGGCATAGGAATGTATAGATCAGAGTTTCACCGTCCAGTTTTTTTTTTTCTTTATTACATTTATTGAATTTTCGATCAACACATTTTTAATTAACAATTTAATAATGACACAAATTGCTTGAATAATCTATCTTGACTTTTACATTAAACCCAAATTATTATTATTATTCGTACATTTATAATAATGTCAATTAATCTATACTAATATAATAAATCGTAAACACACATTTATTTGTTGCCTAAGATGTCAGCAATTACAGCATATTTTTGAATAATCCTTTTTTTAATAAAAAGCCCTACACTTGTGTCAGGCGTTAGGCTATAAATTTTCACGCCATTAAACTTAAGGGGCAAATATTTTGGATAAAAATCTTAATGTGAGAAAGAGACCATAAGTTGCTGCCAACATCAAAAAAGCAAGGTTGCCATGGTTTGTCATCGTCACGTTAATTTGACACATTTAAACAATAAAAAATAATTTTCATAATTTTATGCGGATGAAGTCGCACGGGAACAGCTAGTTTATTCATACGTCAATCCATTTACTAATTTATCTTGTCCTTCAACATGAAGTGGGCTGACGTGATCGATACTTCTTATAAAATTAATATACTCATTCAATGACATCCAATTTTGACCTATCATGCGATGAAAATAAATTTAGATGATTATTTTCTACATCTATACACATAATTAAAAAGTGACTGTATGTTATTATAAACTTGATGTACCTGCTGTGCTAATAAATAAATCCAATTTTAAAGCCATCTGTCTGTTTGACCGGACGGCTAGTTTAATACTTAAAACAGTTACTTAACTATCACTTAAACTTGAATGGGCCGGCTCGCTTGGTGTAGTACTACGACCACACATAAAACAGGCGTGAAGCGGAAGCAATTCCGGATTTAGTCTGATGAGTGTGGTGCCAGAGGCCTAATTTTAGTCCCTTTCCCTTCCCTCCCTTTTCTTAAAAGAAAATGAAAAGGAAAAGTGTATTTGACGGTGGAGAAGACGCATAGGAAGGGGAAATGTCGTCTTTATGTGCGTCTCCTCCTCCTTCAATTAAGGGTATGCATCTGCAATTGCGGATGTTTATGGGCAGCGGTCGCTTTCCATTTCGGTGGA